AAAAAAAAAAACATAAGGACAAAATTTTAAAAATATAATATATAAATTATCAATAAATTATTACATCTTTCCGAAATCTAATATTAACATCTTCATTCGAGTATGATGCAAAATTATTTCTTGGTTTTAATAATTTTTCTCTATCATTTTCACAATCATTTTCACAATTATCAACATTGTCATCGATGCTATTGTTTATTGACACGTTTACATGCGTTGGAGTATCCATCATTTTTCAAACATTACCACTATGATCATATTTTAAAAATTAAAAAAAAAAATCAAGTCATTGATTACAAGCATAGCTACTACTTTGTTGTGGTTCAATGTTACCGCATACTGAACTGACACAAGGAAAGAAAAATACATATTGACAATCACGTGATTAATAATACTATGATTCATGTCAATGAAAGTGGTGCTCAACTTATGATATATTTTTATTGTTCAAAAATTGTTTGTTATTAAATGGAAGTTCTCTTTTAGTCAATCAATATTGGAATAAGAACTATATACATTTTATACATGGATTTTACATTTTATATATAAAAAAATTCTTTTTCTTTTTTATTTTTTATGATTTAAAAAAAAATTCATAAAGAAATAAAACGATTGGGAAATACTAACAATTCAGGAAATATATTATCATTATTTTGATTATTCTGATAATCTAAATGCATAAGCGCTCAAGAATATTGTAGAATAATATAATGATGTGTAATACATTAAAGTTTTTTTTATTAAAATTAAAAAAGTGAAAAAAAAATGTATTGTTTTATAAATGAAAAAAAATGATTATGCATATGAATAATTAGATTATATGAAGATAATGGTAATAATACATCGTATAAGATGTTAAAAATTTTTGTTTTTTTAAATTTACGAAAAAATTGCGATAAATATTTCTTTTTTAATTAATGAATTAATTTTATAAATATTTTCTTTTGATATTATATAATTTACATTGCTTATGTATTATATAATCTATATTATTCTGATTGGAATATTTTTTTTGATGTTATGTCTCATTTAATAAGAATTATTGGTCTCTGATTATATTATCTAAAATGGTAAATGAATGTAATTTTTTTTGTAATATTTATATTATAAAAAAATAAACTCATCTTTTATATTTATTATATCCTTGACTTCTAACATAATTATTACATTATTTTGTAAAATCAAAATAACGATTAAATCGCTATTAAACAATCTATTTAGAATAATTATTATTTCTTACTTCTATATTTCTTACTTCTATAAGAATAAGAAAAT